TTTTTTTTTTTTTTTTTTTTTTTTTTCAATTTTTTGTTGTTTTAATTCTTCAAAATTCCATTGAATTCCTTTTTCTTTTTTATAAAATTATTAAAGCTTCTCTTGTACTGCCCCCCTTCTCTGCTCTGGAGAGATTTAGAGAGAGAGAGAGAGAGAGAGAGAGTTGTAAAAGGAGCTCCATGGATGCTTCGATCTCCGCCCTCCTCAGTTTCTAAGAGATCTCATCATCCAAACGAAACCCCCTTCGTCTCCATGTAAGAATCCTGTTTCGAATCGTTTTCCATTTTTTGTTTTGGTTTGTTCTTCATTTTCATTTCTGTATCGATTGTGATCTTTCAATTTTGGTTTCTGGATATTGGACTGATTCTGTTTGTTAACTCATTAATGGCTGCCTGATTTCGTCTGTCTCTACTACACAATTTCATTTCCCACGATTTTTGTTTTGTTTTCTTTTTGCTCAAACAATTGGGATCCATGTTTGATCGCTTTAATTTAATAAGTTTTTTGTTTCGGTTAAACTGATCTGCGTTTTTCCCCTTTTGTAATTTTCTTTTTCCTTTTTTGGATTGTTGTGTAGTGTGTATTCGTTTTTTGCTCGCACATTTCTCTCCCGTTTATAATGCCGTGTTGTTGAGGGGATTTCATGGGTTGAACTGTGCGGAATAATGGGTAGCGTTAGCGAGGATGAAGAATGCCCGTTTTTTGATGCGCCAGATATCAATGTTCCCTCGATATCGGAAGCCAATTTTGATGGGATTGAGGCGGGCTTTGATTCTCGTCCCAGATTTAACAATTGGGTCGATGGGAGTTTGGGTTATGATGTATGGAATCGAAGCCCTATGAGTGTTCATGAGCGTCGAAGTAAGTTTTTGAAATGGATGGGAATGGGATTAGATCGAGCTCCTCTCGCTAATGGGAATTCTCTCACTGTTTGTCGTGATTGGAGAGAAGGGGATGGAGAAAGATGGAGGGATAATTCCGGGGCTGAATCCTCAGAGTTTGAAGATGTGTTTTGCTCGGGTCGATCTTCGTTGTCGTGTTGGTCTAATGATGATCTTGAACATTCAGAGATGGCTTCAAAGAATAGCATTCTGTATAGGGATGGTGGGATTCATGGAGAATGTGGCAGGAAAATTGGGGATCTAAAAAAATCTGTTCGGTTTGCATTGCCTGAAAGGCTCGAGGAGGCATCGAGTTCTTCGCCGTCTTTCCAACAAATGATGGAGATGGAGGCTGAGAGGGCTAACATTCCGTTGAGTACAGAACGAAGAGTCAACAAACGTTGGCTTAAGAAATTACGATCGGCTGCCTGCATTTTCGATAAGCATGGTAAGTCAAGATTGGTTGTTGATGGTGATTTGAGTACAGGGTCGAGAGTTCCGAGGATGAAGGTTCGCCATTGCAAGAAGCAATTGAAAGAACTCTCAGCTATGTATATGGGACAAGATATCCAGGCACATCAAGGTGCTGTTTTGACGATGAAGTTCAGTCCTAGTGGACGGTTTCTTGCTACTGGTGGTGATGATGGGATTGTTAAATTATGGCAAGTGATTGAAGATGAGAGATCGAATGAATCCGACATTCCCGAGATCGATCCATCCTGCATTTACTTCACAGTTAATCACCTTTCTGAGTTGAAACCCCTGCGTTCGGAGAAAGAGAAGATAGCTAACTCAATGGCCTTGAAGAAAACATCAGAATCAGCTTGTATAATTTTTCCACCTAAAATCTTCAGGATATTGGAGCGACCATTGCATGAGTTCCATGGACATACCGGCGACATTCTGGATCTCTCTTGGTCAAAAAACAATGTAAGTATTAGTTCTATGAATTTCCTAGAAACTAAATCATGCTTATGCTTTAGTAATTGTGAGATCCCACATCGGTTAGAGAGGAGAACGAAACATTCCTTATAAGGATGTGGAAACCTCTTCCTAATAGACATGCTTGAGAACCGTGAGGCAGACGGCGATACATACCGGGCTAAAGTGGACAATATCGGGTAGCGGTGGGATTAGGCTGTTACAAATGGTATCAGAGTCAGCCACCGGGCGGTGTGCCAACGAGGATGCTGGGCTCACAAGGGGGGTGGATTGTGAGATCCCACATCAATTGGAGAGGGGAATGAAACATTCCTTATAAGGATGTGGAAGCCTCGTTTTAAAACCGTGAGTTTGACGTAGATATGTAACGGGCTAAAACGGACAATAATTACTAGTGGTGGGCTTGAGCTGTTATAGTAATCATATGAAGTATTTGTTGTTTCCTCGTGCAGTATCTTCTGTCATCATCAATCGATAAAACTGTCCGACTTTGGCGATTGGGATCTAACGATTGTCTCAGAGTCTTTTCACATAGTAACTACGGTGAGTTTGGAATTCCGTTCTCTTAAATTACTTGCAAATTCTTCTCGTGCAGCCCCCTCACAGTTCGTCTCCATGTTGGCTGCAGTTACTTGTGTTCATTTTAATCCCATGGATGAAAATTACTTTATCAGTGGTTCAATAGATGGAAAGATACGCATTTGGGGGATTCCTTCTTCTCAAGTTGTTGACTGGATAGACATGAGGGAAATTGTCACTGCAGTATCCTATCATCCTAATGGGCGGGTGTGTTCTCGTTTCGCTCTTTCATTATGTTTATGTAGAAATTTGGTGGTTTACTTAGATGTTAATGGCATTTCGATCTCATCATGTAGAGAGGAGTTGTTGGCTCCATAAACGGTACCTGCCGCATCTTTAGAGTAATAGGTTCGTTTCTTATACTAAATTACTTCCCCGAACGCTCGTGTTATGAGCTGAATATGTTAAACACTCGATTTCTTTTGGTTAGGTGATAATAACCTGGAATTAGATGCCGAAATATGTTTGTCGAGTAAGAAGAAGTCGCCCAGTAAAAAGATAACAGGGTTTCAGGTGGTTCTTCTTTCTATTAATCTTCTTATTCACATTTAGATGTTGTATTTATGTTCTTGTTTCTTGTCGTTCTCGTTCGGGATGCTAATATTTTCTGTGCATTCTTATGCTTTTTCTCTTGGGCCGCAGTATTCTGCAAACGATTCGAGCAGAATTATGGTCAGCTCTGCTGATTCTCGAATCCGGATTGTTCAAGGGCTTCATGTGGTCCAGAAATACAAGGGTATGCACCTGTATATCCTTGTTTGTTATTGGTGTTGTTCGTTGTATCCTGTCTTCCTGTCTGCTCATAAGCAAGTTTCGTCCTTTCCGTTCAGGGCCTTGTAATACCGGAAACCAGATGTCTGCGTCGTTCACCTCAGACGGGAAACATATTATATCTGCTAGTGGCGATTCTAATGTATATTTATGGAACTGCAGTTATAAGAACGAGTCTATTTTTTCCCCGGTGAAGAAGGTCAAGTCGTATGAATATTTCCCCTCCAATGGTTCCATTGCAGTACCGTGGTGTGGTTTGAGAAGTAACACAGACGACGAAAGACGTTTTTCTGGCACGCGAAGGAGTTCTTCTGACACTTTCCCGCTTTCGTCCCCGGCCTTTTTCTCTTTGAGGCAAGAGTTATTAGAATCCTTCCCCAAGGGATCTGCAACTTGGCCCGAGGAGAAGCTCCACGCTTCGAGCCTGCTAATGAAACCATCTATGATGCATAAATCTCGATATAAATTTCTGAAATTGTCTTGCCAAAATACATCGAGTTCTCACGCGTGGGGTCTGGTCATCGTGACTGCAGGATGGGATGGACGGATCAGATCGTTTCACAACTACGGGTTACCTGTACACGTCTGAAATTTAAGGATGTTCCGAAAATATGAAGTGATTTCCATCTGGTTTTGGTTTTTCACATGTTAGTGCCTCCTGGCTGAGTATAAGCTTATGATGCAAGCCTGATATCATTTTAGATGATCAACACATGTTATCACCCCCACTGCAATAAACACAATCATACGTGCTGATGGCTGATATGTTATCGTTTTCGGAGTTTCCTCGAGCTATCTCTATATATTTTCTTATACTCTAGGGCCAGTTTATCGAAACAACGACGACGAAACAAGCTTCTCTATGGAGGAACAACTTCAAATCAGCTAGTGGCCAAGGTTAGCTTAACTAATAGACTTCATGATGTTGTGATTTGAATACTGCTGGCCCATATCGAACATGTCAAGTCGTTCATGTAATGAGGAAACGATACTGATATGAGGCGTTGTCTCGACCGTGCAGGTTGCTGCAGGGGCTTGGAGGACCTCATACCTCTCGCCTTTTCTGCTCTAACACGGTCAGGGAAATCAAGATTGGTGGCCTGTATTCATTGAAGGAAAATTGGTATATCTTGTGGGCCATTTTTTAAAAACGATTTGATATTTTTGACCATTTCTGTTTCGGCTTCGTATCAAGACGACGATGACGACGATGACGACGAGTGACATGAGGATTTGAGTGTGGGGCAACAAAGTCGGTCGTTTTCATCTGATGAGACTTTACCTTCCAGGCTGATCTTGAAATGCAAGGAAAAAGTTTTTTTTGTTTGCTTCTTGCTGCTTGCTCTTGCTTGCTTGCTGTATCATTACACTAACACAGTCTGCACCAACCCCTTTTGCTAACAGAGTTTATAGGTTGTATTATTCTCACTTATTTCATTCGACAACGCCGATCATGGTGTTACGAGCTTAAGCTAAGCTACTTAGCATCTATGTTGTAAATACAAACTCTGTACAGGCTTCCACCCTCCCTCCCCCGCGTAAAAACTGTTCTATGGAAGTCGTTATAGAATTGAAAGTTCAAACAGATCGAGATTTGAAGTTATAAACTCATCTCTCGCCCCGTCTTGTATAACGGTAGCGAGGGAGATATAATTCCAACAAATTGATACCATTTGAGACAGGAAACAATGAAAGAGATTTGATCATATTCAAATAACTTGTTCATTTACTTTGCAGGAGTTTACAGTTAAGAAACCAACTGATTACAAGATGAACACAAAAAGAGAAAGAGAGATACCCAAATATTCTTTCTACATTGAATGTTCTTCTGCCTTTTCTGTGAAAGCTTTATGTTAACCAAGCTGTGTGTGCCCATGTTCCTGCTCTGCATCAGAGGGTTAAATGATTAGAATCAATTAGCTGTACTGATAAATGAAAAAAACTATGCCTTAAAGATCTAAATCCCAAATCCCAAACAACAACGTCATGAAGTACATGCCTAGTAGATATTGTGCCTATTAAGAAGAGATTTTTACACTGTTATAAAGAATAAAGAATGTGGGACCTCACGATCCATCCCCTTTGGGGCAGCATCCACTTGCTAAGAAGAGGTTTCTACACCTTTAAAAAGAATGTTTCGTTCTCCTCTTCAACCGATGTGAGATCTCACAATCCACTCCTTCGAGGCCAGAGCGCTTGAGACTCATGAGATCTCACAATCCACTCCTTCGAGGCCAGAGCGCTTGAGACTCACTTCTCTCTCAATTGGCGTGAATCTCACAAATCTTGTCTATTTTTGTTTGGCCACTCCTTCGAGGCCAGAGCGCTTGAGACTCATGAGATCTCACAATCCACTCCTTCGAGGCCAGAGCCACTCCTTCGAGGCCAGAGCGCTTGAGACTCATGAGATCTCACAATCCACTCCTTCGAGGCCAGAGCGCTTGAGACGAGGCCAGAGCGCTTGAGACTCATGAGATCTCACAATCCACTCCTTCGAGGCCAGAGCGCTTGAGACTCACTTCTCTCTCAATTGGCGTGAATCTCACAAATCTTGTCTATTTTTGTTTGGCCACTTGTTTCCTTTTGTGCATGGAGTTTGGAGGATAAGAAGATCCCTTTCTTCTTTTTCTCATCAAATATAATATTCCGATTCAGACAACCATGTTGACATAAAATAACATTTGATGAGATGTTTATGTCTGAGATCATGAAATGAATGACAAAACAGTACGAATGTTGTCTTTCCAACTGCCTCTGTTCATTTCAGAAGATGCTATCAAACTCATAGACACTTCATATCATACACTGCGTTATGACAAGCAACCAAGATGAAGAAAAAAGGCAGAAAGGTCAGAAATCTCTCCACTACTGCATGCCTTTCTAGTTTTTATAAACAAAAATGGCAGAAAGAAAGCTCAGATCTGTACAATTTCAATAGAAAAATGGAAATTATTTCTCTTATTATATCACCACCGAGCGGAATCTCGGAGAATTGGTGGCTTTTCATGCCATCCAATGGTTAGCAACACCATGATGTTCGGTCATCGTTCATCATTCATCTTGATCCCAAATCAATTTGGGTTCATCCAAGAATTATTACCAGACAATCAAGAAAGAAAATGTCAAAACCGATCAGATTTATGGATTCGGCGATTATGACCTAATTTTGAATGATGAATCTTCAAATACCGATAAGAATCAGCAAGAATCGAGTTGTTTCTGGTAAAAAATTTTTTATTATATCATTCCAGTTGTAATTCACAGAAAAGAAAGATATGAACAAACGAAGAAAAGAAATTCAACGCATAATCCTCAATCCAGCGAGCAAGGGAAAGGGATAGAAAAAGGAAAAGGAACACATAGAACAAAAAAGAAGATTAAAAAAAGAGAAGAAAAAAAAACATTCGGATCCCGCGACAAATCTGAAGAAAACCTAATTTGAAATCGACCTCAGATCCATGGAGAACGACGCTCAGACGGGGAGATTGGCAACGTCATTGACCGGCGGAGGAAGCGGTTCGAAGCTGCGAATGACGGAGGAAGAAGTGGAAGTGCAGTACATGAGAGGGCGATCGTGAGCCTCATCGGGATCTTCATGGTCGTCGGAGGTTGAGAGATTGATGCAGGAACAGCGCTCGAGAGAGGCGAAGAAGGCGGAGGCGACGCTGGTGCCGAGCCAGGTGGCGACGCCGTTAAGCTTCTCGTAGGACAGACAGGCGCTGCTCTGATTCTCCATGGCTATGGCGGATTCGTTGTAACCTGCCTTGGATGTTCTGTAAAAACACGGAGAGAAAATCAGCGAAGACAGAGGAGAATGATCGTCAAGAGCCTTTCAAATTCTTCGTTTCAATTTCAATTTAAACATCCTAAAATTAGATTAAGAAGACCAATTCAAAGCTTCATGATCTTATCTACATGACAAAATTAATCTGCTGCTGCTAATCATCCTCTAATTCTAATTTCCAATTGAACTTACATTTTTCCCTTTCTTCCTTTCATCCAAACCTTCAATTTTGTTCCTTCCTTCCCCTAATTTTTCTTTTTTAGATCTTCAACATTTTGGCTTTAGTTCTTATGGTACAGAATCTTAGAAAGATTTGTTATTCCTCGATCGAGATTGTGTATGTTGATGATGATAAGACTTATTCGTGAATATTGGTCCAAGAACTCTAAGTGACGCGTTGGACACGATGGAATGGGTGCAATTGATGCAATTTCATTCAAAAACTTTTAACGTTTTTAATAGCATATAACTTCGATAAGAAGAATTGACAACTAATCACATCCTAGTGTAGTAAATTATGATGTATATATAAATTGGAGAGTGTAGACATGATGTTGATCGTGGCATCTACCCGATGTCCAATTGACACTAAATTAGGCGAACTTTCATATTTCTTATGCATGTACTTAACTCCAAAACCGCGTTAAGACTTGGAGTCCTACCCAACCTTTCAACAAGCTTATTTGTGACACTCTTGTCCTTATTTTGATTATGTCTTCTCATCTCCTCTTTAAAGGATATGTTATTCTCGTTTCAAAGAGAACATGTTATACCGTGTCCTCTTGATCGCTTCATGACATTCTTCTATATTGACTTTTGAGTGGCCAAATGGACATGTCATATGGTGTCCTCCTCCTGATCGCTTCAGGACATTCTTCTATATTGACTTTCGAGTGGCCAGATGGACATATCATATGGTGTCTTCTGCTTCATGACGTGCTTCTATAGACTTTTGAGTGGCCAGATGGACATGTCATATGGTGAACTCCGTTCTTCTATATTGACTTTCGAGTGGCCAAATGGACATGTCTATGGTGAACTCCTAATGGCTTCATGATGTTCTTCTATATTGACTTTCGAGTGGCTAGATAGACATGCCATATGGTGTCCTCCTGATCGCTTCATGACATTTGGACATGTCATATGGTGTCCTCTCGATGACTTTTGAATGGCCAGATAGACATGTCATATGATGTCCTCTTGATGACTTTCGAGTGGCCAGATGGACATGTCATATGATGTCCTCTTGATCGCTTCATGACATTCTACATTGGGTGACATTCTACATTGGGTTCTGCGTGGCCAGATGTTCACTTCGCTTGACGTGAGAGTCCTATCCTAATTTTTTTATAGCAGAGTTGTGAAGTCTCCCCACACTACCTAATTTTTTTATAGTATAGTGGCAGCAGTCTCCCCCCACTACCTAATTTTTTTTGATTTTCTACAGGCGCAATCCCATCATTATGCTTTTCACCAACCAGTATAAAAAAAATATTTATGAAGCATGAACTGACAGCAATAAAAAATTTCGATGTTCGAAGAAATTGACCATTTAAGAAGGTATAATAGCTAGCAGTGGTATGAAGTTTATATGAATAAAAGGTATTAGTAAAAACCATAATCATACTTTTCAATAATTAATTAACTAATCAAACTTGTAGCAACTGTTTGTCAGGTTCCTTCTCCACACTGACAAGAAAAGGCTATTTCTTTTGCTTGTAGAAAAAGGCAAGATTGATTATATTTGGGGAAAAAATTTGCATAAATCCATCACTTATTCGATCAATCAAACATTTTTAAAGAAAACCCTAATATTAATTGAACTTGAACACATGAAAACAAGCACAGATTTTGTCATTTATTACTAAAAGGGGAAGGAAAAAAAAAGAGAAATTAATAGAGAACAGATTCAAAAGCAAATAAAGCTCTCTAAGAAGAACAAGCTTGAAGTGTATTACCAAGAACATACGATTCTCCCCAATCGCAAAGCAAAGCATCAAAATGTTACTTCTTCAGCAATGGCCAATGGCACCCTCAATTCACTCTTCTCGCTTTCTTTACCAATGGCTTCCTCTTTCGCTCTCTCGCGCCTTCTTCGTGCTTACACTTCAATTGCTGCGACTTTGCTTATTCTTCTTCTCCCCACACTCCTCCAAATGCAAGGTAATTAAATGGCACACGGTATTATGTGATTGTCTGTCTGTTCATTGTTATCTCAGCTTCTCAATTTAAATTACCTTTCATTTGTTCATCAGCTAAAGGTGGATCCATCGGAGTCAATTATGGAACGTTGGCTGACAATCTCCCTCTGCCGTCTAAGGTTGCGGAATTCCTCTTGGATTCCACCATTATCGACCGCATCAGACTGTTCGATGCCAATCCGGACATCTTAAGAGCTTTCGCGCATACGCGCATCTCAGTAACCATCACAGTCCCCAATGATCAAATCCCCCGCTTAGTAAAGCCAAATTTCGCAGAAGAATGGATCAAATTCAACGTCCAACCCTACGTACCTGCCACTGACATCATACGCATTCTAGTCGGCAACGAAGTCTTGTCCACCGCCAACAAAATGCTCATCGCGAATCTCGTCCCGGCGATGCAGAGCCTCCACACAGCCCTCTCCGAAGCCTCATTGAACCGCCGGATTCAAGTCTCGACGCCACATTCACTCGGAATCTTGTCGAACTCAAGCCCGCCGTCCACCGCAAGATTCCGGCAAGGCTACGACACGCACGTAATAAAGCCGATGCTGAGCTTCCTGAGAGAAACAAACTCGCCGCTAATGGTGAATCCGTACCCATTCTTCGGCACCACCGCCGAAACCCTAGATTACGCGCTCTTCCGGCCAAACCCTGGCGTGTACGATTCAGATTCAGGGATTTTATACACCAACATGTTGGACGCTCAATTGGACGCTGTTTATTCCGCCATGAAAAGCTTGGGCTTTGCGGATCTGGACATTGTTATTGCCGAAACGGGCTGGCCCTCTAAGGGTGACCCGGCTCAAATTGGCGTTGGCCCAAAAGAAGCCGCCGATTACAACGGGAATCTCTTGCGACATGTCGTATCAGGGGTGGGCACGCCGCTAATGCCGAACCGGACCTTCGAGACGTACATTTTCGCTCTGTTTAACGAAAATCTGAAGCCCGGTCCAGTCGGTGAGAGAAACTTTGGTCTTTTTGAACCGGATCTGAGTCCGGTTTATGAGATTGGGATTCTCCGGCCCACGGTAGCTGCCACAGCCCGAACCCATCCTAAAACGTTTTTCATAATCATGATCGTTACATGGTGGTTGATTGGTTTGTTGTCGACTTGGATCTAACAGGCCCAGTCGTCTACACCGAGAGCCCATCACGGCCCAGAACCCACACCAAAAGGCCCAAGCCCAAGCCCAGTTGCTGATGGTAAAAGATGGTGCCTGCCCAAAACTGAGGCCGACTCCGAGGCCTTGCAAAGAAACATCGATTACGTTTGTGGGCTGGGCTTGGATTGTGGGCCGATTCAAGAAAATGGGCCGTGTTTTCTTCCCAATACGGTCCGAGCCCATGCTGCTTACGTCATGAACGCGTACTTTCAAGCGACAGACGGTAACGATTCAGATTGCGATTTTCAGCAAACGGGCGATCTAACGACGGTGGATCCAAGTGAGTCTTTAAATTACAAGTTTGCCCCTCCATTTTTTAATATTCTAACTTTAAAAGGTTTTATTTATATTCGCTCTGTAAATATTAATTTTAATGAACGAGCGAATTCAAAATTTATAAGACCGACCGAGAAATCCTCTTTAAAAATATCCGACCTTATTACCTCCCTGACTTGAAAGGGGACGATTTATAATTTTCAGCTACAATCACCATGCTCCATAACGTTTACAAGACGCAACGAGAATAGGGTAGTGAGAAGAATTTGACAGATAACATAATATTCATTTTTAAATTAAATTTCAACAAAATACAAAAAATAAAATAATTATGACAATTTATTCTCATTGATTTTATTTTTCAGGTTATGGGAAGTGCAAATATTGGTAAAATGGGAGATATGGAAAGAAGGCAATCCCCTTTATTGCAATTTTCTTATATATATATATATATATATATATTATTTAATTTTGTTTGCTGTTTTATTTTGTTTAGTTGACTAATTGAAGAGAGGAGGGGCAAAGAAGGGAATTTGTCACACAAAACATAATTTTCAAATATAATTTTTATCTATATTTAATATATACTATTTTTATTTTTTATTTTCCTTATTGACCTTATTTATTTAATTAATTGATTTCCCTAAAACACCTGAAATAAATTATTAATATTATTATTTTTTAAATGAATTTCCTTTCGGGGAAAAACTAAAAACATTTTTATTTAGAAACAAATTATTATTGTAGCAAAATAATAAAAATAAAATTATTTTATTATCCATCTGGACTGCGCCAATTGGACAGCGGTGTTGGCATGTGACATTGGGCCCATATCATATCTACTGTTGCGTGGCAGCTCACCCCTTCGTACCTTAGGAAAATTTTAGGGCCCAAATTATTATTATTATTATTATTATTATTTAATTTATAAAAAAAAAGTTTATATTTTTTTTATCATTTAAAATAATTAAAACTAATAACTTAAGTCCATGTCATCGTTTTATGAAATCGTTTTAAATGAATGTTTCTGTATAAATAAATTATGTCATGCATATGATAGCGACTCTAGATTAGTATAAAACTAAGGTCGTTATAAATAAATATATCGAGTAGATATTTAAAAAATATAATTAATATATTTCAATTTATTTATTTTTTGAAAAATATAAATATAAATTGATTTTGCTACATATATATATATATATTTATTTATTAAAGGCAATGGAGTTGAGGAGAAATATAAGAGGGGCTTTATTGTAATTTAGCTGGGGGTGGGGGGGTAAAGAGCAATAATACGATAATAGTGGTAGTGATTTATAAATATATTAAAATTGGTAACTTTCAACTAACCGTAGCGTAGATTACTGTTCCAAACAACCTCTAGGTTATCTTTCATCATTCAAATTTGACTTTTGCTTCCATAAGGACCGTCTCACTGTACCATTTTGGAAATGGAATTACTTTCTGGAAATCAACGGTTGA